CGTGTCTATTTTTTTGTGCCTTCCTTTCTTAGAACCACAGGTCTGTTGTGGCATTCAGCGTCAGGCCCCTGGAGGATATGAATGAAATCACCTCTCATATGTTAGAGGTTGTCCAAGCACACATGGCACTCAGCAAGCCTCAAACTATGGTGAGAAATCTTGTGCTTATACCTTCACAGCCTTTAATGGTGGCTAAACAAGTGAAAAAGGGAAGTTGAGATGGGTTCTATGAATACCACTTCTGTTAAAGATTGCTTAGTTTGTTTGCCAGATTGCTAAGAAACAGTACAGCGTTGTCACATATTTTAGTTGTGTTTGTGCTAAGTGTGAGAGTGAGCTCCTACAGATAAATGGTCACAGACACACATGATTTCAGTGAATGGGTATAAATATCCAAGCCCAGTCAACACCTTATCTGACTTCTACAGCCTGGCTATTTTTTTCTTTTTGTTTTATGTATTAAAACCATAATTCTAACAGCTTTGAGAGATGATTTTAAACACATTAGAGGTCGTACAGAATGATTGTTTTGTTTTAAATGGCTTAAAAAATGATTTGCAGTCAATATAGAAACACATTAGAAGTGAAACTGAGTAATGACATAATAAAAGTTAAGCTTTCTAGATAACTATTGCTTCTGCAGCACTGCAAATTTACTTTTTGTATCCTATGTTCCATAAAGGGCATAGTCTGCTTCAGTATACATGGCTTTAACGCTCATCAATCCCTCTAATACTCTGTAGACTGCCGGAACACGTGAGGTCAAACTCGGACTGTTACTGCCACCAAATAGGCTTAACACTCACTTGTTTTAAGTGCTCTATATTTATTTATGAAATTGACCAACAGCCTGTTATAAATGGATTGGCTAATAATAGCCAGAGGTACCTTTCCGTTTGAGATGCATGTTTTTTTGGGGTTTTTTTGATGAATGTGTATCAGGTGGTCGTAATCACATTTTCAGTGTCATACTTTTACATATCTGTCTCTGAAGGTTGTTCTGTATCCTTTATCAAATCTATGTATAATGTTGAAAACGTGCAATTTCATTCTCTTTCAGTCGGCTGCCGGAGGAGGAATGAGCAGTAGTGCCATGCCCATGTCACGACCCACCATGGGAGGCATGGATGGGAATGTAGGAGGCTATGCAGGTGCCAACGACATGACCAACAATGGGTTAAGTGCAAACCAGAATCAGGTGAGCCTAAATAAATCAGACAGCGGTAACAAGAAATTCACAGTTCTTAACTATCATAGATAAGCTGTGGTGAGAAATATAGGGCCACTGTATCTGAATGCTGAAAAGAACAGCTATTACACCCGTTTATTTATGTAAACCCAAACAGTGATCGTTGACTCTTACATCCTGTCTTCGCCTTCTTTGTGTGAACTGCATCAAAGATTTGTTGTTTTATAAAAAACATTTTCAGAAAAAGAAGTCAGTAGACTGGAACATAGCTTCTTTTAGCAGTGTGTGTCAGCTTGCTTACCCTGTCGACTTTTCTCTCTCAAGGTGCTGTGTTTGATAAGAAGCTGTCCAGAACCGCAGGGTATTAGCATTCAAGAACTAAAGAAGAGACTCGGCAGCATGAGTATTGCTGTGATCAAGTAAGTTTTAAAGTGATAAAACAATATAAAATGTTACTTTTTGACTGTTGGAAAAGTAGAAAAGCTCTTACATACACTGAAACAGACCAAGAGGCAAACTAAGCTGCATCCACTTAAATGATGTTCAAATTATTATTTTACTTTTTACGTTGGGTTTGTACCGTCATAAAAAGGATGGTTTCAAAGAGAGAGAAGCTCACACAAAATTACAACATACATTTTTTCCAAATAGCAAAGAGATTTTGCAACAAAGTTTCACTACAAAATGAATTCCCACAATTTAAACCCCCATCCTTGATCTGCAAAATGGACTTGGTCTGAACAACACAGTCACTGGAGGTACAACGCTGTTAAACAAACTGAAACCAAGAGAGAAGGCCTGTAGTGGCTAAAGTGTTCTTTTTTGTTGTTGTTTTTTACAAGTCAAGAGTTAACACATTATTTGTGATGGAGAGTTAACTTTAGATGTGTTCTAGCAAGCTGCTTTAAAGCTCTAAAACATTAGAGCATTAAAGCATTCAGCTTTAAAGGACAAGCTGAATGCGCTAGTTTGACTTCTTGATAAAAGTACGGTAGCTTTATTAAGGGATGGTGAATGTCAAGATAACAAAGTTTCCTCCTTATCTTATTACGGATCAAGACCACATTGTCTTTGTCCTTCAAGACAATGTGGTCTTGAAGGACTTTGTTTGGGTCAGTTTATAAAAACTTTGCTCTCAGTTACTTTCTTTTGGTGCATCACACTATGCAAAATCTGAGCAGGGACAGTACAACCTCAGTTTAAAAAATAATAATAATAATAGAAAAATGCAGTTACACCATTTTGGTGTTAGCAGTACATACGTTATGCAAACTACAGGAAGTGTATGTCCAAGACTTTAGAATGACCCGAGTGAAACACCCACTGCATGCTAATTTGGTAGTTTTGCTTTGTTTTCTGAAACTGTACCAGAGTGAAAAAGATACAATAAAAGAAAAAAATCTAATATATAATTTTATATTAGATTTTATTCTTTTATTGTATTTTTTTTAAAGAGATTTTCCTTTAGTGTACAGGAAATGATTTGTCTACTTGGTATTATTATTAATAATACCATGAAATTATTATGGTAACCCTTCGGATATTTTTAATTTGATTTTTAGCACTTCTAAAATGCTGTTTCCTTTTGCTTTAACAGACAAGCTGTGGAGTTCCTTAGCAACGAAGGTCATATCTTTTCCACCATCGACGAAGATCACTACAAATCAACTGACAGTGATGACTAGACTAATTCATCTTGTTACCATCAGTGGGGTTACGTATTTGAAATAATTGGTACATCATTTATTACCGAAAGCTATCACATAAGTAACAACCTCCCTGAGTCTATAATGCCACAGAGCTGTGCGAAATGCTGCAAGTCTGTCGGCACTGTGGTCTATGTTTGTTGAAGAACACGTGGTTTACAAATGGTGAAACTCAAGGTTTACACATCCTGTATTCCTGATGTTGCTTCAGCCATTTCGCCCGAAAAAGTTTCTGTCACTGAGATTATTGTTGGCAGTTACTACTTTCTTTCTGTTTATGTATCTTTCTTCTTCTGTAAAACATCTTTCTTTCTTTCTTTTTAAAGATTTGGAACATAAGTAATCCAACTTTTTTTTTGTCTATGTAATTTAGTTTTCCAAAATAAATTGATTATTCAAAATGTATTTTTGTTCTGTTGGTTCAGTTTATTGTATAAGCCCCTTTTTCTGGTATAGGCGTGTGTGTAAATATATGATACATTAGTATACACACACGTGTATATATATCCATATATATATATATATTATTCTGTGTCTATCAGGGTGGGGATTTTGCTTCTTGTTTTTTTGCATTTTAGAAAAACTAACATGTGTAATTCACATTTGCTTTCACACATCTAGCTGTAAAACCACAAGCTGACTTTAACACTTATCTTAGAGTTTCACACACATTCTTATAGATAATATAAGGTCTTATTTAAAGTTTTACAAAGTTGGAATAAACCACATAGGTCCAGTTTCATATAGAAATCATACTTTATGATAATGTCTAATAGAAAATTGAAATCAACCACACATTTACATGCAGTGGAAATAATCTTTCAAAGAAAAATGGCACAAAATGGATTGTCCATTGGTTAACAAAGATGCAAAACATACTTTCATTTTCAGTGAAAATGTTTCTACTCCTCCTTGGGAGTTAATTTGCAAAAAAAAAAAAAAAAAGGCAAATACATTTCTGTTCACAGATAAATAGTTTGATGTGGTTAGAGGGACGGCTTCTGCTACCGGTGCTGCAGCGTTACAATGTTGCGGTTTAGACAAATGCCTTCCATCAATGAGTGGGGTGAGCTATTTCTCTTTAGAGTTTGCATCTATGCAGTAGGAGTTTGACATACACATATGTTGTATACTTGTGCAACAGAATACAATCCATTGAAGCCAGTTTGAAGCTTATTAATATGCATTTTTGAGAGAAGTTATTGATTTAACACTGGTAATTTTAAAGGCTGTAATTTATGGTGTTATGTTCGACTGCATATTATCCTATAGTTTGTTGCTGTAACTATGCATAAGAAGGCATTATATACAGTAACTAGCTACTTAGTACCTCACAATATAAATACGGACCTGTACACGAAGCTGAAAGACAGCCTCAATTACTACATGGTTAAATCAACAATTTCTAAACAAGTTTGTGTACAACAAAAAGTGTTTGAACTACAAGAGTGGTATGTGTTCAAAGTTTGAATACACGATTACTGAAAACAGTGAAGTATAGTTCTGGGTATAAAGTTATGAGGTAAAAAGAAATTTTGCTGACCACGTGAGAAAACAGATGTGAAAACACCACCAAGTTTGTATTTATTCTGGGCTAAGCTGAATGATGTCATGTCAACCAACCCTGCACAGCACTTGTAGGATAGGGAACAGTTCAGTTCTCACTGCTCAAGCAGGATTTTTCTCTGTTGCAGAAGATGTAGAAGATATTTCCTTTAGTAGTACATAACATTTTCTTGTGCTTTCTTCATCATAACAGCCAAAGTGTCATCCACAGTTTCATAGTCATGGTCACTGTCCCCATTTTCATCCTCAGGCACACTCCCTGGTGGAAAGATTATTGTTAGTAATACTATATTTCACAATATTCTTATATTCATCCTAACTGTCATTTATCAAATGTGCCGCACACTGAATGTCTTCCTTTCAGAAAACATGCGATTTTTGCACCACCAAACATTTATGCACCACCCATCACATAAACCACCTATCACAGGTTTTCACTTCACTTCCTGATGCAGCCAATTGAAATGACTAAACACATTTCACTTCTATAGGAAGAATGTCTCCTGAGATACTATTGGGTGATGGGTTGAATCTTATACAGGAACACACTTGGAATTAAGGCAACATTGTGGATTTTGTTAAGTGACGAAGAGTAATAGTAAGTAAATAAAAGCATGAATATATTAGAAATGATGAAGTCTCCCAAAACCATAGACTTTCTCAATCTGCACATGCTGTTTACGGTCTGTGGTTATTGTGTAAGTTTGCGTCTATGGTTAATGGACAATAAACATGGTGTGATAAACACGGCTAAATTCTTATTATTTGCATTTAATGCATTTAATGCATTATTAATACATTAGGTAATTTGTATATTTACATATGCATATGCACATACTTTTAATTGAATATACTTACGTATGTGTTTTTTACATATAAATTACACATTACTGAGACAATAAGACATTGATATGTTTTTCATTACTATTCAGTTCATGTTCACTGTTTGGTTTTGTGTATTTGTAGACTACATGGATACAAGTACTGGGTCACCTGCACATTACAGCTACAGGAGCTGCTCAGCCATGAAAACCCATGCCTTGAAGCTCCACGCACACAGTTTTTGTGCTGATGTTAATGCCAAAGGAGGTTTGGAACGCTGCAGTTACTGACGTTACAGATGTTTGGCAACTTTTACGCACTGTGCACCTCGGCACTTGGCAACCCCGCTCTGTAACTTTACACGGTCTGCTACTTCATGGCTGAGTTGTTGTGGTTCTAAGACGCTTCCACTTTTCAGCTATATGTTACAGCGGATGGTGGACTATCTATCTATTGACACGAGCTCTTTAGAACAAACCATCCTTTATCAGATGTTTGCAAAGGCAGACTGCATGGCAAGATGCTTGATTTCATACAGCTGCTGAAATGGGACTAAAACCCTTTGAATTCAAATATGAAAAATGTATTGACCAGTACTTTTGTGTATATAGTGCAGGTGAAGCTGATTTTTAACCCTTCTTCATATTCATTTACTTTAAGTTTAGTTCTGTGCGTTATGGCAGAAAAAATGTTACTCTATGTGCTTTTAGTGGTCTTGATGACTTTGTGAATTCTCTGAGGCTCTGTGAACAGTCACGCTCACATTTGTCTTAGAGATGTAGAGGAAAGCCAAAGTCTGCCAGTATTCTCAACTTTTTGGGGTCTTTATATAAACCCTACAGTATATAAACTCTTTCCCATGGTGAAAATGTCTCAAATTTAGAGGTTGTCCTGCAAACACTGCTTTAATATAAACATAGAGAATGCTTTACTAGTCCAGCAGCTGCACTATAAGTTTTGCAAGAGACAAATCGGTGGCTCTCTTAAAACATTATATCAGACAGAGCCCCACCTGTTTTAGCAGACTCCTTCATTTGTACATAAGTGTTTGGCAGAGCCTTGCCTATGGTTTGGTCAGCCGCTGAGAACTTTCGGGGCACAAGTGGTGGGGGCTCATCTTCATTAGCCTGCACAAAAGAGGAAACTTCTGTTTTATTACATGCATGGCGTATTTACCACAGGAAAAAAGTGGAAGCACCAATTTGTTATTTTTGCTTAGTTCATTTCCTGAAAGTCACATTATGAGAATCTGTATATTAGTTTCACCGTAGTGGGGTTTCAAGAGAAACCTGATGTGACAAGAAAATCTAGACAACCTAAGCTGAGCTTTAGCCTTTATAATAATAGCTTTCGAAAATGTTATACAAGCATGAAAAGAGTCACTCACGGGAGGTGGTGGGGCGGGGGGCCTCTTTTTGTTATTCAAAGTCAAGTCGCTGAACTGTTTGGTTGGGACGCTTTTGTCTCCTTGATGTTTGGATTTGTTTGCCTTCTTTGATTTCTTTGTTTTTTTGGGAGGTGCCGAAAATGACATGTTTCGCTTTGGTGGTCGAGGTGGCGGCTCCGCATCTGAGTTACCACGTTTGCGAAACTCATAAAAGAATGTGTCTGCAACTTCGGTAACTCTTTCCACTTGACACGTGGGGGGTTGATCTTTGGGCCATGGGAGGGGGTCTGTAGTAAAATAGACAGACATTGAGAGCCACTGCGTTGGGATCTCGAAACAGTACTCTGGCTTGTGTACAAAGCTTGCCTGAATGGTGGGTTCCAACATAGCTGCCTCTATTCTGAGACATGAGAACCCATAGAGGGGATCCTTCTCGAGTTCTGTATCACGGCCCACCACTTTAACATCCAGAGGCAAGCTAAACTCCTTCCCCAAGTCACTGAGTTTGTACTTCCTGTTGTCACTGAGTACTTCCACAAAGTGACCCTCCATGTAAAGAGGCATAATAATCTCTTCCTTTTCATCCTCCCTTTTCACCTGATCCTCATCATCATCATCATCATCATCATCCGACTCTTGAAGGCGATAACACAAAAGAGCCTCTACCGACTGCTTCTGTCCTGCTTTGCCTTCACAGGGTAAAACCATCCTATCGCAGCGCACAACCTCAAGCTGTTCCCCCACACTGAGGGCAGGGAGTCCCTCCTCTTCCACTTCCTCACAGTTCCTTGTTACGCTGACCTTCAGACCTGGTGCGTGGATTGAAGCAACGTACAGCTCGTATACTGAATTAAACTCTCTTGGCCGTCTCCGGAAACGTCCACCATATTGCTGAGACACCAGGAAGTACTGCGGTGTTTTCCTGCTTTTCAAAGTGGATAATAAAATCATGGGCGAGGTTCCTTTTTTGTGAAAAATCAGGTGCTCATTCTTGCGAAGCTCCGGTAGCCAGCTGCACTTGAACAGGGAGCGCGTCTCTGGGTCTTCGATGATCTCCACCACTCCAGGGAATGATTTATTCGGCTCAGAGTGGACTTCACTCAGAGAAAGGGGTACAATAAAATGCACATCTTTACACAGCTCGGTGACATCGACCACATCCACTTCTAAACTGGATGGAAACTTCACCACATTCTTCCTCACTGTAGACAAAAGAGAGGAAGGCAGTCATGCATATTAGGTATATTTAACTTTGGTATGAGTGCAGTACAGGTGAACTATGCTTTTTTTTGTTCTGAATTTAAATTATTGAGGTTACAAATATAAGCAATCATATAATCATAAGCAATCATAACAGTGCATCATATAGATTAATTGCTTTTAATGATATGCTGATGTTTTTCAAGGTGGCATTAACTTTAACTGTTTTATAGCATGGTATGTACTATATGTCATTGGCTTCAAGTGTAAAATTTTAATATGCACAAATGTTGTTTATGTAGTGCATAAATGTGCACAGATGTAGAGGAACAATAAAATGTCATGAACCAAGTATTTCACAATTAAGGTGGAAGTTAAAGTGGAAGTTCACAAACTTTGCATTAACATAACACACGGTGGGGTTCACACACAAATAACAAATCCAGATCAACATTATGTTAAATAGTAGTTAAATAGTTAAAAAGTAGGTTATTCTTACAGTTCATGACGGCCTGGACATGGTATACTGGACTGAGCATAAGAGGCCGATCACACTTGGTAGCATTGACAAAGCGAAACCTTCGGCTACGCAGGGACGACGAGGACATGATCTCCCGCAGGGTAAAGCGCTCCTCACTCTCACACTCATAGAACTCCCCTCGGAAAGAAACAGGGATGCACACTTCAGCTGAGGCTTCTTGTTGTCCTCGAATAAGGCAGCGGACTTGATCCTCTTGATCCTTGTGCTTCTCAACAGAGAGCACAGTCAAAGCTGTCCCAGCTCCCAGTGCTAAATTGCCAATGGTCATCTTGGAGTGGCTGGAGAAAGTGAAGGGAAGAGAGGAGTCGAGGCCTACCGGCCTCATGCTGACCATCTCCTCTACCGTACTGTACGGCATCTCCTCTGGCACGACCCTGAACAAGCCTGAGAAGAAAAGAAAAGTCACTGTAGTTCTACAAAATAGATTTAACCATTCTTACAAGAATTTCTCTAGACCAACCTGTGTGGCTGATAGGCAGCTCAAATGTTTCATTGTTTGCTACGTCTTGACAGGAAACTGATAGGAGCTCAATTTTAGTGACCTTTATTAGATCCCCAGTGGAAAAGCACACTTCACTCCCAGAAATTTCATATATAGAACCTGGAATGGAAAACAAGAAACTGAAGGAACAAAAATGATTATGATTTCTTAACTAGCACATGAACGCATACACTCTAATGGGAATTGTTTCCAGTTGCGAGCCATGAGCAATACAACAAATGCTCACTGTTCTTTTTATATATAATAACGTCTAATTTAGGGTTAAAAATGTACAAAATGTAAAAGGAATGTACACTAGATTGTAACTTTGAATTTATGAAAGACAGACACAACACAGAGAAGCGCACAGCAATGAAGTAATCTATAATCTCGTAAGTGCTGTCCTTCTGTATACGCCATCTCACTGAGGAAAAGTAATAATAATAATAATAAAAAACTACCTTGGAAATATACTCCAGAGCAAACTTGCAAAATTTTTGGCAGACAGGTATCGTCCAATGACGCGATGAATTCCTGAAGTGGCAAAGCAGTGGCGCCTGCCATCACTGCTGCCTCTGAGTGTGTGCAACCAAAAATGAAGGCAGGCAGCAAATGACAAGCGCAGCACAAAACGGGGGTGCTTTCTCAGTTAAAAACCACAAAAGTGAATGAGGAAGTTACAGGATCTCTTTGCACAACTTGTGCATTCACATACGGGGACAAAGCAATCTGGCAAAGCCTCATTGCTGTGAAGATGGTGAATAAGTATCCAAAAGAATGTTTTATTAAATTTTTGGGAATTACAGCATAAATCCTGCTATGAAGAATAAAATAAAACATCCACACTCTAACTTTGAGCTTTGTATATGTCTTAATTTTTTGGGTGTGTGTGGGTGTGTGTGTGTAAGAGTGAAAGAGAGAGAGGGAGAGAAAGGGGGAGAGGACGACAGACTTTAAAAGGAGCAAATCGCAATTGCAATTTTGCAGTGTGAACGTGTTATATTTCTTTTTTCTTGTTTGATAGTCAAGCTGCTCTACTTAACGGTGTGGCCAAAATCAGTGCGAGCACATTGCGCAAGGTTTAAATAAATACATGCACTATGATAACCTTTAAAAATGCAAAAGAGCAACTCTCAGAGCACAGATGCGAGGACACACTGATAGCTTTTCTTCACTAATATTTCAGGCTCTTTGTGATATTCATTTTAGCCATGTGTCATCTTTCTCTCTCAGCACTTCCTGCTCTTGGTGCTTTTCTAAGCCTATGACACTTCTATCTGCAGCAAGGAGAGGCTAGATATCCTCCCACCTTGACATATCAAGGAAGGCAGGCAGTGGTTTTTAACGTTTGACTCAACTCACAGTTTCCAAGAACCACAAAAAGCTCTAAAGATCAGTGCTTGACACAGAGTCCGCCCACACCAGCTATTAGTACCGTTGCCCCAAATAGATAGACCTACAGTCCTAGCTTCATTCAAACCACCAGCTGCTCACGAAACAAAATATCAGTTATTTTATCTGATTTGACCTTTTAACAGTGTTAACTTAGAAATTTGGGGAATAGGGACCCCTGCTGGTTCTTGTGGTAACTCAAAGTTGGTGTTAGTTTAATCCCCCCACCTCATGGGTTTGAACGTTCTTAGAAAATCCATGTATTATTTTGTTTTACCATTTATTTTAAGTAAAAGTCGGAGTAAATGAGAAAACGTAGTCTAATATTCTATTCAATGTTTGGCAGTACTACAGGACTACATTTCCCAGTAATCCGAAGTGACGTTTACCCAGCATGCAGCTCTGCTAGAGAAGCTGAGGCAAGATGGCGACTAAAATAAGCAAAGACAGTCCCCCTCCTTTTGATTGTCCATCATGGTGAGAAAATGCACGTGCTAAAGTTGTAGCCGTTAGCTTGTTATGTGATATCAGGTGCAAATGAGCAGATTAGCATTCACTTAATTATCAATGTAACTTTCTACAGAGGAGAATAGCTGGTTTTCACAGTGGCTAATGTTAGCATCTGAGCAGGCTAACGCTGGTGTGTATCTACAAATGGCGTTGCCTCTTTTTTTCTTATTAAGACCCATCGTTTATGTGCAGTTTTAATTCTGATCACGAAAAGAGGAAATAAATCACATGTATACGCAGGATATAATTTAATAAGTTTTTCTGTATGTAAAAGTATCAATCTTGAACACGTTTCTATGAGTGCAGAGGTGAGTGACTCGTTTCTATGAACAAATCCTTAACTGCAGCAAGGGGAGACAATGGAGTGTAGCCATTTATTTAGAATAATGATCCACTGTCCACGTATAACATTAACTTAGACAGTTTTAATGTTTAAAAATGTTTTCTCTTAGGGCAGGCAAACCGCCCCCTGGGCTCCACCTGGACGTGATGAAGGGGGACAAACTGATAGAGGTAACTGGAAGTTTGGAGATGTTACACTAGACCAACAATTTATAGCATTGCATACTTGTGAACTGCAAGAATAATGTTGGTAGTAGGGTTAATTGAATGCACTAGATACGAGCCTGACAGTCTGCTTTGGCTGCAGGGCTTCAAACGGTGCGACAGTAGAATCAGCCCTGAGTTTTAAGCTTTTCAGTGGAAGCAACACTGTGGAGTTATGGCTCAGAGGCACAGAAATGTTATTCAGCCTTCTTCACTGGCTTGTTTTCAAAGCCAAGTCACTAACTCGTGTCTCTCCTTCTAGAAACTGATCATAGATGAAAAGAAGTACTACCTATTTGGGAGGAACCCCGACTGGTGCGACTTCACCATTGACCATCAGTCGTGCTCTCGTGTTCACGCTGCACTAGTCTATCACAAACACCTGAAAAGGGTCTTCCTCATAGACCTCAACAGCAGTAAGACATGATCTTCAGTCATACTTGTACACTCTACGTTACTGTCTGAAAAAGCTAAGGGCTAAAAAGGAATAAAATTAATCTATTGCGTGCAGCCAGTAGTGCTCATAATCGCTCGAATAATTTGTTGAACAATAGACTGCTGGATAGACAAAAATAATCCACAACAATATTCTAATTAAAGCAATGATGCTAAGCATCAGGGTCAGATTGTAATTGGAAACCTTATTGTTTATTTAAGGTCCTGTTTTTGTAATAAATGTGTAATTCGGACTATATAAACAGACAGGAGACTGCAAGGTGGTGGTGAGGTGGTAGCTAAGCTGCACTGGATGGTCGTCTGTAGGATGACTTTGGAAATCTAGCAGAAGAGCAGAGTGATGGCAGAGCCAAAGATTCCATGGTGGAAGTTTATGGAGGAAGAATGCTGGCGTGGAATTTAGGGAGGAGTTGAGGAGACAGGCTCTGGGTCTTAGGGGAAATTTACCAGATGACTGGGAAAATACAGCTGAAGTGCTCAGGCAAAGCTGTTTGGTGCATCGTCTGGACAGAGCAAACAAGGAGACTTTGTCATGGAATAACACAGTACAAGAAAGTATTCAAATATTCAGTAGTCAGGGAGATGAAGGAGTTAGACAGGATTACTGGTTGGCTAGGAATACAGCACACTAGGAGCGAGTGAGATGTAGGTAAGGCTGGAGACTAATGATGGAGCAGATGACATATCAGTTGGCTATGGCAGTGAAAGGGAAAGAGTGGGTGGTGGCTGCTAAGGGGAGCACTCAAAAGAAGTAGTTGTCTTGTGTAGCAGTTATGCATTCTCTCTTTCTCGTTTGTTATAACCAGCTGCAAAAAATAAATAGAAACATGATATGCCAGCTGGCAACTGAGTTTTGGCAAGAAAGTGGCACGCATTGGACCTTTTTAAAAATATTAGCAAAAACGTATTAATGAAAATGATGTTATAGATGATAAAATTAAGAATGGACTAAAAATCACATTTATGAGAATAACTGGATATAAAGAAAAATTGCAGTTTGATCACACCAGACATTACGTGCTTAAACATGGCCTCTGTTAATGCAGAGGTCATTGTTATATTAGTATTTAATATTGCTGGGTCAGGCAAGTCAGAAAAGTTACCAAATATTGACAAAATGTATTGTTTGACTACCTTGAATTATTGTTGTTTCATTATTACATCAGGCTTAGCTACACACATCAGTCCTAAAACTGTGCTTGATGTCATCATTTAGCACACGGTACTTTCCTTGGACACATTCGGCTGGAGGCCCACAAGCCTCAGCAGGTTCCCATAGACTCTACAATATCTTTTGGGGCCTCAACACGGACTTACACCATCAGAGAGAAACCTCAAACCCAAGGCAGTGCTGGCACAGGGGACAGCAAGACAGGAGATGATGAGGAGCTGAAAGGACTGCTCGGGCTTCCAGAAGAAGAGACAGAACTGGAGGTACAGTTAGTTTATATTCTGAAAAATGAACTGCACGGGAAAGGAATATCATGGCTGATGTGAATACCTCTCAGGTCCACAGTATGTATTTTGGTGCACTAAAAAACACTAAATTAGGTCTGTTTTAATAGGCTAAGCTCTTCAATTTGTAACCCCTTCACTCATAATGCAAATGATACTGCGATACGTCTTCTGACTAGAAAACTCCACGTGTTATTTTTATAAGTTAAGCTGGGCTTACACTGTGCGATTTTTGGCCCATTTTGAGCCGATTGTTGAGTCGTGCGACCGTTTTGGTGATCGGCCCGAGTTTGGCCTTCATCGTGCATCGTGTAGTATACGTGGGGAACGAGAAGTGATTAACACCTCCCGACCAGCTCCCGATCATCAATCGCTTGGTTGAAATCCTCACGACCGTCGTGAGGGTGTCACCGCAGCCGCTCACACTGCGCATGCGCAAACGCATAAATGTCGGTGAAAAAGACGGAGTAGCACGGCAGTGCAGCGTGTGATCTGGACACAAGGGATGGAGGCACAACTTGTAGAACTTTGGAAAGCTCATCCGAGCCTTTTCGATGTGGCCTCACAAAATTATCACGATATGACACTTTATAATACTGTTTTTTTCTATCAAGTTTGTTCCGGTATATCGTGTTGTTATGTTGGGATATTTTGACATTCATGCAGCTATTTTGCTCATATGTAATGTTTTTAACCTGCCAGAACCTGACAGAGTTCAACACAGCTCACAACAAGCGCATCTCCCTCCTCACCATTGAGGAAGGCAACCTGGAAATCCAGAGGCCCAAGAGGAAACGAAAAAATTCCAGAGTTACCTTCAGTGAAGAAGATTCCATCATTAATCCAGGTACTCAAGTTAGTTACCCAAAAACTAGTGGATTGTTATTTTATTTACAGCATGTACATGAGAAGAAAATGAGCTTTGATGATTAGATTAGTTAAGATTAAGCCAAATAAACTAAATTTGGATACTTTTCATTCCAGGCTAGAAACGCATTAATTAATGTGGGTTTGCAGTGAGGTGGCTTATGGCTGATATGTCACTGATCAAATATGTTGATTGTGAATTCTAATGAGAAGAAATGCCCCCAGCGCTAATGTATACCAACTGTTCTTTAAATCTTTACAGAGGATATAGACCCCTCTGTTGGGCGCTTCAGAAATATGGTGCAGACTGCTGTCATCCCTATAAAGGTGAGTTTTGATGTCAGATACATTTAGCTGACAGGATGGTTAAAGAAATGTAATTTTTAAGGTGATAAATGTGCATTTTTTGCAAAAATAAAAGTTGTCCTGTGTAGCTCACTGGGTGGCCCCAGTATGCCCAGTGTAACACTACCATTTGCAGTGGTCTAGCTGTATGACTTGGAAAGGTAAACATGTATTAAGTGTATGAACTGTGACGCTGATGCTCTGCTATCCCTGCTGTAGAAACGGAGATTAGAGGGCCAGAACACTTTGGGTTTTGATGACTTGACTTCAAAACGCATGCACGGCTACGGCTTTGGTGGTGGTCTCTATGGGGACTTGCCTCCCACCAGTCATGAGAACCAGCCGATAGGAGCTCCAGGAGGTGTTGCCATGCAAGGAGGGCTTCCTCTCCCTTTCCCTAACCCAGCACCAGAGGTAGACCTGGCCCCTGAGGCTCCACAGCCACCTGTCACTCTCAACCCCACACCTGTTACAGCTCCTTACCTACCGGAGACCCACAACGAGCCACGAAAAAAGAAGTATGCCAAAGAAACTTGGCCAGGCAAGAAACCCACCCCTTCACTACTCATCTAACCAGTTTCTCAAAGCTGCTGACTCTCAGGTTACCAGCAGAAACATCAGGGACTGTGACCTGGACGAGATGGAGCCATTCACTTCCATTTTTTTTGTTGTTTTCTATTTTGTTTTTTTCTTTTAATTTGTCGTGTACTCGTTGTCATTACAAGAAGTCATCACACAAGTTCTGTTTTGGTCTGTCACAAGATGTGTCTGCATCTGTTAAACTGGTAGCTGATAAGTAGAAGCTTATTGATTGCAAAGAAATTTAAAATACATTTAAAGGACTTCACATCTGAGGCTCAAAGTGGCAGGTATGGTTATCTGAGTGATTCTTTACGAAGATATGGTGGGTCATCGAGTTATGTTTTTGACGAATTTGATGTAAGGTTGTATTTTTTCTACAATTTCAATATTTTTTTCACTTCTTTAGAATGTTGAAAATACTATTAAAGGAAAGCGAAACGTACTTTTCTATCAGATTTTACTGTGATGAGTCAGGGGGGCCAGAGATTGCAGATATGAACTGAATTTCTGTCAAAACACAGGGCTGATTTTTATCATGAAAACATATAATACAAGTGTATTATTGACTGCAAGCTTTTCATTCCATATATTAGACCAGCATCATATGAACCAAAGTGTCCTGCATTTTTTCCAACAACCCACTAGGTGGTGGCTTGTGCATTTTCAGTGACACTGGCTACACAGTTACAGAAATCATCGTTATATATGTGGCATCACATGAAAGTGGAGCTTCAAGCTTCTAAACGTTCACATGTCGCTGATAAGCTATTTGCCCTGTCCAAACAGTATTCCGAACATATTTGTTCTTTGGCTTTTTCAAGTATATTACTTTTAAATGGTTTGTTGCCCACTTTTCCACCACAGGTGTACTCTCACACTTTTGTTCTGCTCGGCATTTAAGTGAACTTTTGCTAAGCACTAACAGAATACAGCTGAGTAGACACTAGCACAAGAACAAATACCAACTTAAAAGGCAAAATAAAAGGTTAGTAAAAAGAGAATTAGGATTTAAACTATTCTAAATGTCACGTAGCATGTTAGCATCTCTCACATGAAACAGTACAGTGCAGTTTATACAACGTATTACTGTTTTGAACAAATCCAGTATCAGTTAAAAGTTCTCTGTGTCAAACAGGTAATCAGCTGGCTGTAGCTGGTTAATAAAGACTGTGGCCATGTTTAAGTCCACCATTAAATTGTGTTATATCTTATATAGTATAGTGGTTTGGATTTTTCTCTTTCAAATGTGGACAGAACAGCCGTAGTAGTAATTGAGAGGAGAGGGTAAGTGATTTGTAGCAAAGGTTCCTAGCTGGAATCACAGATTAAATGCTGTGGTCTCAGCGCAACATGCATTCTGACCACAAGGCTGCCACATAACATTGTTGTTTCTTTTTGATGTGGTGCCTGGTCTGACATCGGCCAAAAAGTCAAGTCAAGTCGGCTTGAGGTTATTTCTGCATGAGGCAGCGACAGAAGATGCAATGCATTTTGGGAGTTTTCACAGGGAATTCAAGTGATCAGTTATTAGGATCTTAAATCAGCGAAAGGTTGGCAATCTGAGATAAAAGAAAGAGGACGTCATTTCATTTTTATACAACCTGTACTGGTGACTTTTTGTCCTTGTGGGTGTGTGGATTTTGTAACATGACTGTAAATAAAAGAGTACTTTTGACTCATGAGCCTTTCTGGCCCTTCTTGATACTTTCACCCAGTTGTGTATGAACCTGCACATTGCAGAAGGGGATTATAGCGTGTCTTTGTGACACTTCTGCACACGCTTTAACGACTCTTGTTGTGAAATTGCTCCAGCACCTGGCCTGTCTAACAGCAGAGATAGGCAGTGAAACTGAAGTCGGGACTTAAGTGCAGCTGTCTCGCCACACATATTCACTTCTATCTCTGCCTACCTAAAGCGAGATGATGAACCGGGTTTCTGGTTTGCAGAAGCATGTACGCGTGCTGTCTAACAGTGCTGCAGGAGACTAAAAAAAAGGTGTAAATGAAAACAGAAACCTTTTCACTTGTACGGAATGATAAGTGTGCTCCGCTCGTTGCTAGAACAGGTTAATTCTCTGGCTTCATCATGTGCTTTTGACACTTTAGGGACGCCATTGCTTAATTTCGCACCTTTTTGACATAAAGTAATTTTATATATTATATTATCTGTTGCAGATAGACTTCAACAAATTCTGAGACTTCTTTACTTCAAATGTTGTCTTATAGGTGCTTGCTTAAAAACTTATCAGATGGTTGTGCCAACTTAACCTTTTAAAGACCTCCTGAAGCTCCCATTGAGTTATTAGTTTGCAGTTTTCTGACCTGCATTCAGTAACTGATGAAATGTGAAACTACTCCCTCCTAACTTTGAAACTGTTGTGGTTTACAGTATCTTTGACTTAAGCCGTCTCTGTTATTGGTTACTGATTACCGACCAGTCATGTCCTTTTGAATGTGTTGGTAATGTTCACCACCAGGCAAAAGTTTGGACACACCTTCTCATTTAATGTTTTTTTCTTTAAATTTACTACTTTGTGCATTGTAGATACATACTGAAGACATCAAATATATGAAGCAAGATGTATGTAATTATGTAGCAAGGAAAAAGTTGATAAATAACCGTAAATATGTTTTATATTTCAGAATAGCTTCCCTTTTCTTTGTTGACAGTGCTGCAAATCCTTGGTATTCTCTCAATGAGCTCCATGATGTAGTAACCTGACATGGTTTTCACTTTAAAGGTGTGCCTTGTCAGGGTTCATTTGTGGAATTTCTTGTCCTCTTAATGGGGTTGGGACCATCAATTGTGTTGTGCAGAAGAGGAGACTGTGTGAATCAGGCCTTTATGGTCAAATAGCTGCTAAGAAACCACAGTTAAGGAAAAGCAACAAGCAGAAGAGATTTTTGGGGGGCCAAGGAACACAAGGAATGGACATTGAACCAGTCTAAATCTGTACTTCGCCGTGTCTTTGTGCGACACAGAAAAAGTGAACGGATGGTCTCTACATACATGGTTCCCACCTTGAAGCATTGAGGAGGTGTGATGGTGTACAGGATGCTTTGCTGGTGACACTTTTGGAAATGTATTCAAAATGAAGGAACACTGAACCAGCATAGCTAACACAGCATCCTGCAGCGACATGCCATCCTGTTCTAGTTTAGCTGGACCATCATTTATTTTTCTACAGGACAATGACCCCAAACACACCTCCAGGCTGTGTGAGGGCTATTTGGCCAAAAAGGAGAGTGATGGAGTGCTGCGCCAGATGGCCTGGCCTCTACAGTCACCTGACATAAACCCAATGGAGACAGCTTGGGATGAGATGGACCACAGAGTGAAGGAAGAAGGCCAACAAGTGCTCAGCATCTCTGGGAACTCCTTCAAGACTGTTAGAAAACCATTTCAGGAGATGACCTCATGAAGCTCACTGAGTGAATGCCAAGAGTCTGCAAAGCAGTAATCACAGCAAACGGTGACTCTTCATAGTTTTGATGCCTTTGGCGAGAATCTAAAAAGTCATGAAAATAAATAAAAACATGAAATGAGAAGGTGTGTCCAAACTTTTGACTGGTAGTGTGTGCGCCCTCACAGGAAACAGTAATCATCATCGTTTCCCCCCAGTCTGCTTCCAAGGCCTGTCACTCTGGTGAAACTGCACTCACTAAAGCTGCAAATGTCTTATCTTACCTGCTGGATATCAGCGTGTTTTTGACAGCATATGCAGCACAGAGACCAGTGTACATGAACTCTTGGCAGCTAAAAAC